CTGAACCGGGTGGGGTTGGTTCAGCCCCAAGCCCCAAAGTCACTTGGATACGCATAAGACACATCTAGGACATGCTATTTTCCTTAGTAAATTAGTAATATAAAAGTGTGATCAAAACGCCAAATGTCAATAATAAAAAATCATCTTACAATTAACTATAATATCACAAGATCCCATAAAGAATTTATAAATCAATAAAAGAAAAACTAACATCAGTTAAATCATATAAATATTTAAATATGTCATAAAATGTGCTAACTTATGAATACTACACTAGCATTAATCATTAGATATGATTTTATCAATATCAATATTGCATTATTTACACAAAATCCCCAAAACTAAAAAAAAAGGAAAATAATCTCTAAAACAACTGCAAAAATAATGAGCAAATTGATGTACCATTAATTAGACCTCTCACAATCACAATCAACATTATAGCTAACATGAATGTTCTCTTCAAAAGCAAGTTTACCAACATCAATGAAAAACATTGCTTGCTCTAAGAAAAAACATAATTCGCACTCATCATGTGTACAGGCTATGTCAAGGAGTGCTTTAGCCATGTTTGGATCTAATTTTGAAATAATATAAAAATAATTTAAAACTGAATTTTGATGTATCACACATATGTTGGGTGCGTTAGAGTTGTGTCCGTTTTGTAACGCATGTACATGCTAGATATGATGATGACATTGACGGCCTTTCAGAGTGACTGTGCTTTATATCATCTAATTTGTATCTGAATATGTTAGTATTATATAACTAGCAATTGGTTAAATTTGAAAATTAGAAAGATAAAACTTTTTCCCTTTTGGGTAAATGTGACCTAGTATGACAGAGTGGAAAATGGCAGCAATATAAGAAGAAATTCCAAATTAGTAAAACCTGACTTTAAAAAGTATAGTGCAAATGGTCTAGATCCATATGTCCAATAAAGGCATGTGGCTCACAAACAAGAAGGCTTCTTGCCCCAACTTTAAGCTCTCAAGCATAAATTCTTAAATGATAGATTTTTGTTCCTGATTCCTAAAAATAGCTTTTATATGTAAGGCATCAACAGAAACCCTTAATGAAGTCACAATTTGCTCAAACATTATGTGGTAATATTTGCTTTAACTTGTCTGGTTATTTCATAATAAAAAACTAACAAAAGTCAGTTTACAACTTTTAAAGAAGAAAAATTTCAGTCTTTCATGAATACCACACTATTACACGGCGTTGTGATGACGGTAGCTCATACACCAAATATAATGGAGCCACAGATTATTGATGCAACTACATACTATATATACTATTGAATTAAAAAAAACGGCATATAAGTATTTTTGATATATGATTTCGATGGCCATTATTACCCTTCTAGCACCAGCAAGAGCACAAAATATCGAAAGAATGCCTGTCCCACAGCCAACATCCATTACAACCTACAAAAATAACCCAAAAAACAGCATACCCAAGCTTCAAATTTGAGCATAACATTTCAAGTAAAAGAGCAAGAGGAAAATTTCTTACTTTTCCTGAAATTAAATTTTGATGTCGCAGGATTGCATTCCTGTAAGTTTCAGTCCTCACATGATCCTAAACAATATTAATAAAATTAGACAGCAGCAGTTATTCACACCATTAAATAGCCAGTCTTGAGTCCATATAGATAAAATCATGATCAAGATAAATGAATCAATATAGATATAACTAAGTTGCAGATACTTTCATGCTACACCCAGTAACTGTCCTATATCAATTCCATCTATAATGCATGAATAACGTAGAAAATACATAGTTCTTGAAGTTTACATCATGCTAATGGTGCCTCTAGTTTACAAGGCCGAAGTTGTTGCTTAGATGAGTGGTTGTTCACGGGTGCAGTGGGTCCATAATGGGAGAAATTATTACGTACGGAGCACGTACGCAGCACTACGTGCGTACTTCAGTAATATGCCGCCATGGAGATTATTGAAGTGGAATCACTGAGGTAATTGGGGGTTATTGAAGCATTAATTCTAATAACCTCCTAATAACCTCTGTTGTTACACTCTCAATAACCTCCCAATAAACATCTGCAGTTACACTCCACAATAACTTCATAATAACACCTCAATAACCCCTCAATAATCTCCGCTCCCTGCATAACCCTCTAATAATCTCTGCCCCCTGCATAAGGCCCGCAATAATCTCACAATAACACCCCAATAACCCCTTAATAATTTTTGCGGTTTCACTTAAATAATCTCCACGTAGCGACATATTACTGGAAGTCCGCACGCAGAGCTGCGTAAATGGTCTGTATGGAATAATTTCTTCCATAATGTGCCACCAAATTTCATTAGCTTAATGTGGTACCATTTAGATGCGCTATAGAAATTATAGACGCAGATTGTCTCCTGCGGTTGACTAAGAATGCAAAAGCAGTAAATGTCAACTTTGCTCCACTGTTCGAGTGCTTATATACTACACAAACTCTCAAAAATCTTCTAATTTAAAATTGAGCGATGCCTAACATGGAGACTCTCGCGCAAAAAAAATGCATAATGATATGTGATAGGGGAGGTTAAACGTAAAATGGAGACTCCTCTGTTCGTGTGCGGGAGGGTAAGGTAGAGAGTAGAAGAGAAGGACCTTGATCATTTCCTCGTGGATGCCGATTTGGGAATAAGACTGGAAGTAAGCATCATCGAACTCCTTCCATCTGGGAGAGGATGCCCATTCAACTGGATACTGTTGCGCGTGGGATGAAGAAGAGGATGAAGAGAAATTATCATGCGAAATCCGAAAAGAGCCATGGCGGCCGCCGGTGCCCCTCCTCCGCCGGTACCGCGGCGCCTTTTCCGTCCTTTGCGTCGCGTATCCGTTGCCGGGGTAGGCTGGGAAACCCGGATGCATCGCAAGGAGAAGGATGCAGACAATGAAGCCTTTGCTATGGCAAATGAATGGAAGAAACCAGGAAAATAAAACGAGGGTTTTGGGGTTTTGCGAAAGAGAGATGAAAGGACGTTTGGTGGGAATGGGTGATAAATATTTTGAATAAGCTTTTGATAAATCCCATTAAATTAAGAAAAGATTTGGGGCATTTACATAAATACCACCCAATTCCTATGAATTTAAAATATATAACAACATCAATTATACTTTTCACATTTTTGCACCCAATCTTTCACATCACACCAAAAATATCATTATTTTAATTTCTATGAAGTTAAATACACATTACAAGATGATATATATGTATAAAATTAAAGCTTAAGTGTTATATATATAAATAGATAAGAATTGCGTGATATACATGTAAATCTTTCAAAAAAAATTGTCCTTATATATAATTTTTAATAATATAATGTGAAATACATCTTTTCATATATAAATAAGATGGTATGTATTCGAAAATTAAAATCTAAATATTATATATATATATATATATATATATACACACACACATACACGTATGAATTGAGTGGTATGTATGTAAATCTTTATAAAAATCAGACATTATTTATAATTTATTTTTTGAGAAAATATATTTAACTGTTTAACTCTAATCTTTAAGTTCAAATTTATTTCAATTTCACTTTAGGCCCTATGTATGCTTAGTGCATATTGAAGTTGATAGTGAAAAAAATTAGTCCAACGAACTCAAAAAAGTTTAATGAAAATGTTGCAAATAAATATTTTCATAAATTTAAAATACTCCACAAATTTACTTTTTAATAGAAATAATAAAAAATAATACTTTCAATGAAATGAACCAAACCATTTGCTGTCCAGCAATATTTGCGATGAGAAGGAAAGAAATATTATTCTAAGGTAATTTATAAATGATGTTAGCACTATTTACATATTTACCTACTTTTAAGTGGTTATAAAAAGGTAATATTTTATTTATTTAATCATTTTTTGGGGGGCTCAAGTGAAATATTTGAATAAATCAACATTTAAACTATAAGATATGCATTTGAATGAAGAAATTTTGTGACATTTCCCATAACTTGGCTATAGATAAATATGTTAATACAAAATTTGATGAAGCATCATTTATGAAGCTGATAATTGGTTTTGCCAACATAACAGCAGTCATTAGAACCACAATAATAAAATTATGAAAATGCTAATGAAGATTTTTGCAACAATTATTAATTGCATCAACTAATAAAAAAAAGGGATAATTACAAACATACCACTTGAAACAATGCTATTTACAGAACTAACACGTAGATGGTGTTTTTGAACAACCCAATCAATACATTTATGTGTGCCACGATCAGATCATTGAGAATTATGAATTTGGATCACAATAGGCTAAATTTATTAAATTAAAGAGCTGAGTTAAAAAAAAAAAAACTAAACAATCAATAGCTCAAAGGTATGTAGACAGGTTGCCAACAATGCAGCAAATGTGAAGAACAATAAACCTAAATCAACAGAAATTAATAGAGCATAACAAACCTCAAAAATTTCAGATTTTATTGGGAGCTGTCATCTTAATGTTGAGTCATAACCAAAAATATGAATAAAATTCCGGCATTTATAATGAAATCTCTTCAGTCCTGGCATTTGAATCTGCCTGTCGTCTCAAAGTTTCATCCTGAAACATCAAAGCAGTCTAAAATAAAAATTTGAGGAAGATTTACATATATACCACCAACCAGTTCCTATGTATTTATACATCTAGCACCTAAACTTTAATTTTTACATACATACCAACTTACCTATGAAACAAAAGAAGCATTACACTTTTTAAAATTTAAAATGGTGGTATTTTTTATGTGATATGTGCAAGATGAGGGGTTGGTATAAATGTAAAAAAAAAAAAATTTAGGCATTAGATATGTAAAAACATATGGAAATTGGCTGGCATGCATGTTTATACCCAAGTTAAGAGAACTTTTTACGACAACCAGGCCTATTAGAGAGTGTTGTAGCTGTAAGAAAGCTGATGTTGTACAGTAATTTCACAACAAAACATGATTTTCAGAATCATGGTGACGTGTTGGCACCAATGGAGCTGCTTACCTTGATACATACATAGATGTAGTGAACTTCGACGTTTGAGCCGATAAGTGCGGTGATCGAAGTGCCATCTTTGATTAATGGCAGAGGTTTAGTTAGCTCCCAGGTCCTCTGCTCTGGATTCTTCTCCACCCTATCTGCACAACCAGTAGGCAGTAACAAATAAGGGGCATTTACAAACATGCCACCCAATTCTTATGTATTTACATATCAACACCTAAAACTTCTACTTTTTACCACGTAAAAAAATAATACGATTTTTTAACTTTTAAGAAGTGAAATATACCTTTTCATGCATAGGTAAGGAGGCATACATATAAAAATTGAAGTTTAGGTGTTAGATATGTAAAGACATAGGAATTAAGCGATCTGTCGGTCAATCTTCCATAAGGAAATTATCACTACAGTTCGATTCAGTAAAGATCTCAACAGAAGTATGTTTCTCTGTTTCAGAATAGTTTAAGAAGCAGAATATAGTTCGTTAACAACTATTTATTATCCTATACAGCTAGAAATTTATCATTAAAGGAAAAGGAAAAGCTCTAAAAAACAACCATATATCTGTTCAGCCAAGAATCAAGCAGGAGCTTGAGTGCATCACAGGAGAGTATAATCTGCATGGGGCTGCAACCGAGCCGAGTTGAGTCGAGTATGTCATGGATTGAATTTGGCTTGGTCGAATCATAAATTATTCATATTCAATTCGACCTCGAGCCGAGCTTTCATAAATATGTTCATGCTTGGTTTGCTTAAATTTTTTTATGATCATATTTGATTTGTAGATAGCTTATTTATATTAATTGAATAGGCTAAAAATTTGAATGAGTGCTTAATTATTCATATAAAATTAAATTTTTTTTAATTAATTTGCATGTAAAAATAATAAATAAACTAAAAAGTCAAATAAGTATTTGACATTTTATATTACGTAATTAGAAAATAATTTTATAAATATCATAAATAAGCAATTAAATAAATTTTAAATGTGCATCTAACTAGTTTATACTATGTATATAAAATAATATATAAGTTAAAAGTAAGCTTTATTACAATTAAAGAGCTTAAATAAGGGCTAACAAACTAGCTTATTGAAATAAAAAAATAATAATAAATGCATATGATTTATATGCATATTGATAATCAATTATAATATATTACGATTAAATATATAATAAATAAATTATAGTTAATAAAATTTTCTTTGAATAATATATCATAAAAGTAAACAACATTTAAAAAGTTACTTATTGAACAACAAATAAATTTGTTTGTGAACATTAATAAATGAGTTGAACTATGTTTAAATTTGGTTCATTTAACTTTGAGTTAAAAAAAAAAATATTTAAACTTGTTTATTTACTAAATTTGAACCAACATGATCGGGTATTAATCATGCCGAATTCAAGTTGTACACCAAGTGCCACTCTGCGGTTTGGTGCACACCTACAAGGGTGCGGTTTGGCTGGTGTTTTCTCTGCGCAGAAACAAATGGTGAAAAGTTCAATGGTAGGCACAAATCGAGTATGATACATCCAAAACACAATGGGTCACATTGCGGATAGGCAACCCACACAAATCTACCTTAAGTCATTGTCAGAATATTTTCTTGGTGCTCTTGAAGACATAAGTTATCAAAATACAAGTCCCAAGCATATGTTGTAATACAGTCTGTTAATCTTTTGAAATTATACATCCACATCATCATCAAGATTACACAATTCCAAGAAGTTGTGCCAGCTTAATGATTGCTACAACTTCTATTAGGTATAAACCTTAAATCAACCCCTACTCTTTCTCATTAAAACTTGAGACCCATAATAACAGATTTTTTTTTGTGTGCGTTGATAAATATATGCTTGGTTGAATTCGAACCAGATAAAAATTGTTCAATCTGCGTAAGATGATTCCATCCAATTTCTTACCAAGTAATCTGGATTGATAAGGTCATTTCTCGACCAGAAGAGCATTAAGATCAAAGTAAGGTCCAAAAGTAAAGTGATGCTTAAAATATAAGTAGCACTTTCCAAATTGAATCAAAACCAACAAGACTATATGAAGTTGAGGTAGTGTTAAGTGATACTTAAAATATTAGCAACACTTTCCAATTATTTGAAATGTGAATAAACCGTCAAAAGGTCCTCGACCTCTTATTACATCTCTCTCTCTCTCTCTCTCTCTCTCTCTCTCTCTGTGTGGCTCCTCTCCCCTCCCCTCTCTCTCTCTTTCTCTCTTTCTATATGGAGTGTAGCATGAGATTTCAAGCTTATCTTTGTCGGTCAACTTTTTGCTTTCGAAAAATATTTTTATAGTTTTGAAAAGTAGATGATTTAATTTAACCTAAAAGGTATATAATTTTATGAAAATAGTGTATTTTAATTTTTTAAAAAAATGAGACCGGCTGTATCTCATTTGCCCAATAATTTGTATAATCGTGCCCGGTTGCACAAATGATACACCTTCTCGAAAGATACGAGGTTTGTGACATCCATTTGGTCTGCGAACCTTTTATATGTGACCGACAAATTCCCTTGTTTAATACAAAGATTAAATATGATTTATTTTACCTGAGTTCCAAGTTCCCTATAGAGACAAACCTCTATAGTTAATTACATCCCAAGTGACGGGAATCACTTGAGAAAACTCTCGATAATGATTAGTGGTTCTAGTCTTCAAGAATTCAAAGTTTAGGTTTTCAAGGTAATACGTAGAAAAACAAGTGGAAATGACTCAAGTAAGAACATTACTTTCAGGAGTCCAAAGGAAGTAAAAGGTAGGGGATGTCACAGATTCTGAGGGGAATCCTCAGTGACCTACCAAACTATCATACTGTGTGACTGTGTTTTAGAGAGAATTTTATTTGAATGTTGAATCCTGTCAATTTTATTATTTGGGACTTACATTTGCATAATAACTGATTATGCAGATAGCCCGCAAAGATAAGAGGTTTTACGTCATTATAGATGACAACCTCGGAACCTAACGCGAGTTAAGGCTTACGTTGCACAACCTAAAATAGGGTGAGGTTTTACGTCGCTTTAGGCGAGCTACCTCAAAATCATATAGTTGTTTAAACTAGGAAAGTTTAGTTGGTGTAGACTCGTTTTGCTGTTGTAGAACGGCGACCACCTCCACCTGTAGTCCGCTCCAAACTCCTTGCCGTGCTGCACACGAAGTTGCTCCGAGTTTCTCGTCGCAATAATAGTCCTATGTCTAAAGTTCAAACAGTTTTACCAGGTGTGTTCAATTTCTCAGTTTGGTTGTCATTGGGGGGGTTAAAGTTGGTTAGAGCGATACCAGTTAGGATCCCACGGTTCCCTCGTTCCGGTATTACTATTTTCTTTTGAACTTACTTAGTTTAAACAAATTGTGAAACCCATTTAAACCGGGGAGATCTCGTTAGCAACTGTGGGTTACCTCCTCCGAGAGAATCCCGTAAGTTCAAAAGAACGTATTATGTTTTGTTTTTTTTTCTTTTGAAAATGTTGTTTAATTTTGAAAAATTGTTTTGTTTTGAAAGTGAGATTGTATTCAGTACCTGCATAACGTGTTAGAGCAAGAGTAATTGCAATAAATAAACAACAACAAATAAAATGTACATGCATACGTGGCGTATCTGCTGCTGCAATTCCTGTTGCATGTTTAACTCACAAAGCACAATATAATTTGCAGAGAATTTAAAAAAATTGCAGAGAAAAGATGAAAACCGTAAACAATAGAATAAGTTGTAGCAACAGCTAGGAACTCCAAACAGGCGATCCTAAGGTTTTCTACAACTCTTGACTACACCTAGCGAGCTAGTATGGTGTAACTATGACCTCCTACGGTTCCGGTAAATAACTAGCAAGTGTGTACGGTGATCCTACGACTTCAGACAGCAACTAGGAATTTTGAATAATGTCTGTATGAGTTCCTATGAACCCAAACAACAATGGGCAGCACCTATGCGGCTTCCTACGAACCCGAACAGAGGTGGGCAGCAACTAGATGGCTTCCTATGAACCTAAATTGTGGTAGACATCTCCTACGTGGCTTCCTACGAACTCAAATCGTGGTGGACAGCTCCTAGGTGGCTTCCTACAGACCCAAACGGTGGTGGACAGCTACTAGGCGGCTTCCTACGAAGTCAAATAGTGATGGACAGCTACTAGCTGGCTTCCTACGAACCCAAATAGTGGTAGACAACAACTACACGGTTTCCTATGACACTGGGAAGCAAATAAAAGCATTGGATCACGGTCCTACAGCTCTTACAGCTCGGACAGCAATTAGAAGCGTTGGACAGTGATCTTACATCTTCCTACGACATTGGGCAGCAACTAGAAGCATTTGACAACACCCTACAGCGCTTCCTACAACACTGGGCAGCAATTAGCACTCCAAATCATTAATTTCAGCACATCGCGGCACACCAAATCATTAATTTCAGCACATCGCAACACTCAAAATCATTAATTTCAGCACATCGCAGCACTCCTACAGCACTCTACAGTGATTGACAACTTCAAATAGCATTTAAATGGAACACAAAATCCTCCAAAACAATGATAAACCATCCCGAAACGGTAAATTAAAAGACCCAGAAAACTGCAGCGAAACATCCTCCAAACCATCTCAAAACAGGTGTTTTAAATCACTTCAAAACAGCTAACATATATTTTAAATAGCTGAAAATAATTTCGGCAAGCTATGAGGCGTCTCCCAATCACTTCTAGAAGCACCATCCTTCGTTTGATTAGTTGAAAATTTCAACTCATAGCCAAAATTATTGGCATACGAATAAATAAGCCTCCTGTAATATTTATATAAATGTCATGGAAGCTTTAAGAGCAATGTGGTGCCTAGGTATTCCCATTTTCTCCCAACTACACTTTTAACCCCAAAAATAACAAGCATTGATGCATGGAAATTCTCCAAACAGCATACCGACAAGCTTGATTTTCTTTATAGAATAGCTCTTTCAGATTCAACAGATGATGGGAATTAAAATAAATAAAAAATACGAACAACGAGCCTAAGAGTAAAACCTTGCTTACCGTGGCTCAGAGCAGAAAGGGGATGTATGGTGAGGGAAGAGACGCAACTTGGAGAGAATTGAACCGGGAGACTTGTCGTGCCGTGGAAAGACGAGCGGGTGGGCTCTGGTTTCACGAGAGAGGGAAGCAGGAGGATCGGCTCGATGCTGAGGAGAGCGGGACAGCAGAGGAGGGCAGTCGAACGCAGCTTTTCGGTGTAGTGCAGATAAGAGAGCGAAGCTGAATTTGTCGAGCGAGGAAGGAGATGACGGAAGCGAGGAAGGAGATGACGGAAGCGAGGAAGGAGATGACGGAATCGAGCAAACCAGGGAAGAAGAAGGCGAGTGAGATGACGAAGGCTCTGTTAGCAGAGGAGGCGCGGCTTCGTCGTGTTGGAGACAAAATCGAACAGAGAGAGTGGAGGATGAGACTTCGATGCGTGCGGCAGAGAGGGGAAAAAGGCGAGTCGCAGAGGAGCATACGGGAGACGGGATCGAGCTCTGGGGCTTCGGTGCGGGAGACGGGAGAGAGCAAGCGGCGGTCTTCGGCGTAAGGAGGAGGCGAGCGGGCGAGCGGGCGTTCGGGGTCGAGCGGAGCAGGTTTTGAATGAAGTTTCTGTCAAGCGGAGAGGGAGTCTCCAGTCGAGTGCGAGCAGGGAGGCCGGAGGAGCAGGCGTTCAGGAAAGGCAGAGGAGGAAGACTACGAAGGAAGGAGCGATCCCTTCCTTTTAGAATTGAAGCGGGGTCAATAGTCGTTACTTTGGCGGGAAAATTAATGAATTCCAAATATAGGGGGAGATTAAATGGAAAACATTAAGACCTGAACAAATTTTAATTAAGACAGAATTTAAATAATCCATTTGAATTTTGAAATTTGAATTTCAAATTCAGGTAAGCTGGTGCCTAGCCCGTGTTCAGCCCAAGTCCATCCTAAATCGAACCCGAGTCGAATCTGGGCTGAGCCCGGGCCCGCGCACCGCTAATAAGGTGCATCGATATCCGTGCTAGACGCTCGCGCGCGAAACCATAACAATATGGGTGTCCCTTCTAGCTAAAGTCGACGTCACGGACGCGTCGGCGCGGTCCGTTTCGTCATCCGGGGTCGTTCGGACGAGTTTGCAGACGGACGAGTCAATTTAAGCTAAAATTGTGTGGGGTGCGATGCGTGCGCAAAACGTGGCGTTATCGAGTGTTCGGGTCGCAAAGGGGTTCCCTAGGGGCTGCTCCTATTAATATAAGAACTCGACTCGAGTTTCATGCGTCGATCCTAATCAACTCAACGGAATGCTAAGGATTTGGGACCGCCCATGCGAAACACGAAGGAGTGACGAGGTGGCTCGAATTTTCTAAATTGTGTGGGTTCCGTACTAGTATTCTAGGAGGGTTAAACAAGAGAAGCTTAAAGCTACACCCTAGGCTCTAAAAAGAGAAGTGAAGACCTTATCAGAAAATGAGGTCAACAATCTTGCACAGGACATTTTGGAGAACAACATCAAACAATATTATCTTAAGTCTACCCCTTTGACCCTGATCCTTCAACCTTAATTCTGTTGGCATATTTAGGTGTATTTTCTGCTTTTCATCATGCATGTTCAAATCACCAATGTCTAATTTTCACCATCTTATCTTCAATATGTACTATGATCACATATTTTTAATATGAATGCTTCCAGATCAAAATTTACGAGTTCTTTCACTCTTAACGTCCTCATTTATATCATACAAAACTTTACTACAATAATTTTTTAATGGCCAACACTTGATCCAAACAATATCTTTGACAAATGGTTGTCCATTTCATTAACTACATTAAGCATATCAGATCATGAATTAACAGTATATGAAAAAGGATACATACTGCGACCTTTGCTATGATAACCAGTATAATAATAATGACAATTACCTATTATATGCAAGTTTATGGTCCAAAATTGTAGCTCCTTCAACAAATGCAACCGATAACTTGGCTCTCCATAAGTAATCTGCATTAGTAGAAAAAATATAAGATGAAATTAAAGTATAAGCAGTTTTTTTGTCACCAATAACCGGTAAACATAATTTTCAGTAACATTTTGGATCTGAATACTTAAGAAAAGAATAGATATACCAGGATATAGACACCATTGTTTTTTAGGATCCTGATATATAAAAAGAGAAGAACAATTACTACAAAAATGATAATATGATTTCAGTAATCATTGAATAAAAAGAAATTACAAATCTGACTACAGCATATTATCACGTCACCTGCCAACCTCCTCCAACATCTTAATTGCATTAAGATGTGCATTCTGGCCACACTATATGCATAGAAGACAATAAGTGTAATAATTAATAATGTTAACACGATAAAAATAAGTTTCGGCCTAGTTCTTGCCCACCCACCATGAGAGAGTCCAGTGTTCCTGAATATAAAGGATAGCATTAGAAGAAATACTACAAGAATCACAAAGTTTTAAAGATATTCTGCAGCGAATCATGATAAATGAAAAGGAAAGGGAACAGTAAACAACATGTAATAATAATGAAATCCAAAGATGTTTACTATAAAATGGCGCAATACCTTTATCAATAACAGCATCGAAAGAACCAGATTCAAACACACTCATATCCCGCACATCCATTTTAATATCTGTACTAGTGTGAGAAGGAAAATATGCACAAGAGTGCTGCAAAATTAAATTTATACAAAGAGAAAAGTATGCACATGAATTTCGCAAAATTAAACTGATTCAAATAGAAAAATTATGTTAAAAAACACTACAAAAACTGATAGATATCTGGATACACTTCAGCTCTGCTTTCCCCTCAAATTTCTTTTGCATAGCCTCAACCACCACAGATGATATATCAATGTTTACAACATCCAAGTAGCCGTCAGAGACCAAATCTTCTCCTAGTGCTGTTTTTGGGATGATATAAGCATTTAACAATATAAAACTAAAGTTAAATTATATTTAGAAAAAAAAAATTGCATTTTATGAATTATGAAGTATCATTATGAGAAAGTGGGATGTAAGCCTTATCTTTAATCATAGTCTCTGCCGAAGATTAAGGTGAAATCCATAGGTAATTTGGATCAGAAAAAAGATGGAGATCAATAATTAGTTATATGCAAGAAGCGATCAGTTAAGCCTTTGTTTGGATAAGTGGTAGAGGCAAGGCATTAAAAGAATAATGATTTCAAAACTGTCTTTCTTTGCAACAAAAATTTTACTTTCATTCGAATTTCATTGCTAGTCAAATGGAACAAGCATGCGCATAACAATATGTATATGAAGTAAAAATTTTGTGCAAAGAAGATCGATATACTATGAACTTAGACTCAATTCTCATATGCTAGTTTCATTCAAACAGAAATCCTTGATTTAGTACAGCACAAAAAAGAAATGCACCAAGAGAGCATAGAAGACACAAATTTAGTTGCCACGATTTCGATGTTTATTTCAGTGTCCTAAGCAGTTTTTTGGTTGGAAAATTTAGTGAATATTTGAACAAAGAATCTTGCGTGCTTAATTCCTATGTTTCTCTAATTTTAGAATAAATCTTGGATTTAGAAAAGCTCGGGGGAAGTAAAGTTAAGAGACGGCGCCACTTCTCCTCAAAGCGTAGCCTCTTTTCCTTCATTTAAATCTAAGCATTAAAGTTTGCAAAAAATTCTCCATCATCAATTTGATAAATCTGCATAGAACCTATTGTAACGAGTCGACCTTTGTGACTTTCGAGTGTTAACATTCGCATTTTGCTTGACAATGTATGCCAATTTGTATCCACTTAATTTTTTTTCTTTTTGGAAATCCAAGTTTAGTTTTCTTTTATAGCCATTTTCATTGTACTTGGAAGTGCATAACAATTTGCATCCAATAATTTATTTTCCTCTATCACCTCCCAAGATTGATTTTTTTTAGGGTCCTCTTTTCTTTAATCATGACTTATTTTTTTCATTCTTCATTCTCAAGTGTTTCTTGGCATCTATTGTTTCAATTAGAAAGCCATTATGTGATAGGGAAATATTAGAGAGAACTATTAAATGTTGACTGCATTTTTGGGTTCGTTTTCTTAGAAGAATATGCAAACATATATCATTCTCATTTTGAGTCACAAAGATAAAGTCCACAACATCGTTGCAATGTTGGTTGATCTTGAAGGGATTTTAATGGTTGAACATGCTTCAGTTAGAGGTGGATTCTTTCCTCCTCGAGTAAACTTTTAATAATGGTTTAGGTAAAGGCACTATTAGGGCAACATCTTACAATTGGCCAAAACTATTCAAAGAGGGAATCTAAGCTATTTGGGGCTGTTTGGGTAGGTGTTGGGAACCCAACGTATAAAAAATTATAATTTTCTTTATCCCACGGCTTCCCTTAAAAGCAACGTTGGCTATAGAATCCATGGTTTTCAGCAAAGTCAACACCTCATAAGATAAATTATTTACTAGATCTTGATTATCGGATAGCCAAAAACACTCATACCTTTTTAGAGTCAAGTAGTATCCAAGAAAGATGCAGTTTAGGGCTCTAGGATCAAGCTTAGTATTTTGATGATTTTGATCTATATGAAAGTAGGTGATGCTCCCAAAGGTTCTCAGTGTGTAGTGAATGTTTTACGTAAGAGAAAAAAGTGTTAGGGATTTTGATAGGTGTTTTATTTTTTAATATTCAACTAGGACTGTGGTTTATTAAAAAGGTGTTATTTAAGGCTGCCTCCACCCAATAAAATTCTAAAATTCTCATTCAAAGGATAGAGGCATAGCAATTTCAAGCAGGTCAAAAATTTTTCTTTCTACTGCCCCATTTTATTGTAGAGTCTTTGTATAAAGGATAATCAATAGGTAATGCAATTCTATTGGAGAAGAAAAGTATAAGGTCAAAATAAAATATTTATAGCCATTTCAAACACAATATGTTTAATTTTAGTTTAGAATTAGATAAGAGTCATTTTATAAAATAAAAAAAAGGATTGTACTCGCCTCATATTTATATTTTCTTAAGAATAACTAGGCAGTATGTGAGTAATATCTATGAAAGAAATAAATCATTTGGCCCCATTCGTATAAGCAATAAGAGATGGACATCATGCATTAGTATAAGATTAGGGAGAAACATGAAGGCGTTTGAATAGCTTAATTAATAAGATGCTTTATGGTATTTGGTAATTTGACATACCTCACATTGAAATTTATCAATTTTAATTTTATTGAATGAAGTAAGAAAAACATTTATTGTAGTACAATAAATGATTGGTGTCTCATCCAACTATGATGGAGCCAAATGTATGCGCTCATTACATTTAAATTTTCATATAAGATTAAGGGATGTGATTACTATTAATACTAATCAAGATTGTAGAGCCCTTGCTCTTTAGCATCCCCAATCTTCTTCCTCTTGGTTCAATTCTCAAATTAAAAAAAAAATGAATGGATATCATGGATGGTTTTGGAATGTAGAGCATACATGATAATGAAAGTAAATGTGTCAATTCTATGCATCCATTAATAGCAATAGTAGCTAGAATTCCATCAGCATCTTGGTTTCCTGGAAAAGATCAATAAAAAGAAAATTCAGCTGAAGAGTTTGACATGTAGTATGCTGCTACCTAGTTGATTATCACGCTTTTATCAAATGCATTTGAGATATCGAGTAGGATACTTACCTAATTGATCTATAGAGCATCTATCTATTGGTTTGTCAATTTTTATCACGAAGGTATTGAGTTTTTCTAGTTCTTCTCATTCTAGACCTTCCAATTACATAAATGTTGTCTTTTCCCCCCATAGAAATAGTGTTGGCTTGATGGTGCCTCAACTGATGTTGACATCGAAACTTGTTTTTGTTGTATAAGGGCTTTATTTAGAATTTACATCAAGAATTTTGTATGTCATGCTTTTTCTACAATAATTACAATTTACAAAACATGCCTTCTAAATTATCGGACATCAGCAGGCATGGTTTGGGGTTGTATGACTTAATTTTAAAGACAAAGGTGGCGTCAGCAAACTTTTGAGTATATTTGCTTCATTATATACCCATTATCTTTGGCCATGGTTTAAAAAACGCATATTCTATTCAATCTTGATGTCATGAATTTCCATATTCATGACATGATTGAGGAATCTTCTACAGTTGAGCTGTAAAATCAAAGCCACCATCAATCAGTATATAGCCAATAAGAAATCCTAGCTTTTCTTGTCTCTGGAGAAAATTTCCCATAATTTGGGACCAAACAAGACAACAACCATACAGTTTGAATAAAGGTTGCAAGTTTTGATACTCATCCATTCTAGATTGAAATATGGTTGATCAATGCCCTCTGATAGCATGTATTCTTCTTAGGTTTAACTTTTTCTCTCATTTTATCAGTTAGAGAGTTGATTGTTGGTTTCCTGTTGTGGGCATACTACTAAAGATGGGTTGTTTGCCTATTATTGAAGACAAGTTTAGTGAGGTTGAGACAAATGATGGAAGAAGACTAAAGGTGCATTTTGGGTAGTTGCAGCTGTGAAACTGTTGTAAGAAAGCTGTTATCAGAAAGTTGTGTTTCTGTTTGAAAAATATAATTGTATTTCTGTTGTGTTGTAGTTGTTTACGAACAAAAAATAGAAATGCCCTTATGTGCAGTTGTATGAAAAATATATAGAAACAGTTAAAATGGTTAAAACAGTTAAACAAAAAAATCTTATGAAAATACACATTACAATAAACATTAAGAGTTTACACTACACATGAAGCATAACTAAATAAAATCTAACATACACCATTATTTCACTCATTAATTAATGTATTTGTAATCATTTATCACAACTCAATAGTCTCCCCAACATCTTCCCCATCATGTGTACAAGTTTCGCCTATATCACAATCAGTTTGTGATGTTAATTGTCCTAAGCAATATTCATATGCTTCAAGAGGGACGTAACTGATTTGTATCTACACTATTGAAATCAATATAAGTGCGTGATGGATGCCAACAAATGTAATTGTAGAGAGATTGTAGCAGTCACAATCTTCATTTGCTTGCTGAAAGGTTATATAGGCATATCTCGTAGAATGATATTTTTTTCAAACCTCAAAAGGTCTTCTCAATAACACCACATAAAGAACAGTGATGTTTGTTAAACATCTCCTTGTTAACCTCATTTTGAGGTCATTACTCTTTTCCTTCTGATCCTAGGATCTAGCTCTAGGGATTCCTATTGACTATCTTAAAAAATTAGTATTGGAATCCATCCTCTTAGAAATTTCAGTCACTTCCTATTTCTCTTGTGATGTCTCGCATTGATGATGTCAAAACCATCGTCGTACTATCATCTGGAGACCCAAAGAGAAGTTCTCAATAGGATCTCAAGCCCTAGGAAACCTCTTCAGGACTTTATCATCACACACACACAAAATGCATAAAATTCACTAAGTTGCACAAGATCGGACTAGAATTGAGCTTAAGGATTGGTGAAAATGCGAACTTCTCTGGACAACCTCCAATGACGAAATGAACTGCGTCAGCGCATCCGATACACCAATTTTAGCAAGAAAAGACACTCATATTGCTATAATTTCTGACACGAGCAAATTGCACGTAAATCGATGAATTCGTCAAAACGACCTCCGACGACGAAACGAACCACGCCAACGCGTCCGGAACGTTAGAATTACCTAAAAAGGACATCTATTTTGTTATGTTGTGATGCGTGAATAAAGGATACAAATCAAATATTATTTTGGAAATATTAAATATTTTTATATTTATATTATTGATTATAATTATAATTTTTATCCATAAGCCCTATTTGACCCTTACCCACACGTGGCTTTCCTCCAGTCGCACGATTTTTTTTCCTGCCTCGACCAAGAGCCTCTCGGGCGTGTCGTAGCTCACGCGATCAGCCGCACCCGAGCCGACTGATCGAGGCCATGGCCGCCGAGCCAGTCTTCCTCTCCCACATCTCCTCGGTCACACATGACATTCCTCTTCCCTCACACGCGACATTCCGTTGTCATTCGCGCACGCGGCTTGCCTTCTCGAGCTCTGCTAGAGAGAGCAGCTTTCCAACGGTGAAACTCCACCTGGACGACTCTTCCTCTGCCCTAGGCTGCATTTCCTCCTCCCTAAATGCATTTTCTCTTCTCCCTTTACCTGATTCGACCACTAGTGAGGCTGGTAGGTGGTTGTCTCTCTCTCTATCTCTGCCTATAAAAAAGCTTACCAGAGCACTGTTTGGGTTGTTGAAAATTTTTTTGAGAGGAGGAGAGGCTCTGTCAAAATTCCCTCTTGGCTAGGTTCTTGTGCGCTGGGAGTTTGAAGTATTCGTTGGTTACTGTTTCTCGAAGCTTTTAGGAAGAGAGGCTCTGCTGAAGTTCTTTCTCGGCTAAGTCCTTGTGTTATGGGTGTTTGGAAGCTTGGTGCCCTTTTTCTGTGTGTTTTTTTTTAGAAAATCTCAAGCAAGGTACTTCTTCCTTTTCTTCTCTATTCTGCTGCCCTGTTAGACACATGTTGGAAATATTAAAATATGGAATGCATACATGAGGCTTTGTTTTGTCTTAACTGGTATTTCGTAATGACATTGATATCAAAGATTGGGTCTTTAATACTTTTATTATTTAGAAGTTCTATGCGCTGATTAGTTGAAATAACATTTTAGGGAAAGCATGTTTAGATCCATTGTCACATGCAAATCTTCTTCTTACACTTCTATTATTTCTATACATGTAAGTTGAAAGCTATAGCCTTCTTTCTTTTCTCCTTGCTGAATCAATTTATTGTTAAAGGAAGAAAGATTTTTAGGGGAAAGGATTGCTTGCATTTCTTTTTCTGCTCGAAATACATGGGAAAGGCATGGATATGAACTCTGAAATGTTATTTGCTCATCTAGAATTCATGTTGAAAATAAAATGTTGTGTTTTTTATTATTGTTATTTCTGTCTAAATAAATGCTGGAAACTCTACCCGTTTCGACTCATTCGATGGGCTTAGTTTTGACTTCTTCTGGATTAAATGTTAGCTGGAAATTTTTTTCTTTGTTTTTTTTTCCATATGGATAGGCTCGGTTTTTACACTGTTAGGTTGGAATTATAGCTGAAAGATGTTTCTACGTTTTGGCCCATTTGATGAACTCAGTTTTTTTGTTCTTTTGAAATGAATGAATGTTGGAAATTATTCTCTGTTTTCCGATTTTGTTGGATTCGTTTTTTTTATCTTTTTGGAATGGATTCATGCTGGAAACATTTTCTTTGTTCTCCCATTTGGTTGGGTTCGGTTCTAGCTCTTTTGGAATTGAATTATAGCTGGAGTTATTCTTTTTTGTTTTGCCCCTGTGCTGGGCTCGGTTTTCCCCTGTGCTGGGCTCGGTTTTCCCCTTTGGTGGGCTCGGTTTGCCCCCTTTGCTGGGCTCGGTTTGCCCTTTTGGTGGGCACGGTTTGGCTTCTTTTGGGTTTGTGTTTTGGTTGGAATCCCTTTATGTTTTAGCCCTTTGGTGGGCTCGGTTTGCCCCTTTGCTGGGCACGATTTGTTTGAAAGCTCTTCTTTAACATCTCTCCTGAGATTTTTATTAGTAATCAAGTTTGTCATCCAAAAATTCATGATTTCAATATCTACTTCTATGTATACTTCTAAATATTAACTTCTATGTGGGAATGTTTGATATAAATGAATCAATTCACTATCATGTCGTGCTCAATAAAATGGTTTCAATCTAGATAGTTTATGTGAGTTTGTCCATTCACTATTTTATGTATATCAAAAGAATACAATGGTGATATTTGTGGTGACTTTCCATTTGCTGTGAAGCTGGTTTGGTGTCTTTTTTTTTTTTTGTCTGCTGCCCCTACTCATGAGCATCCTAATTGGTTTCTTTTTGTCTTGTTTGGCTGTTCTCTACTGCCCCTGGCCGTGAGCCTTCACCTGTAGCTCTTTTATGTTGAATGTGGTTGGTTTGGGGCTTGATTTTCTCCTCACTGCCCCTGGCCGTGAGACTTACTGTGGTGGTTCCTTGGTTTGTGCAATGGTTGGTTCGGGTGCCCCTGGCCGTGAGGCTTTCCCTTTGCTATGAAGTTGTCCCTTTTCTTGGCCTTGCCCATGAGCCCCTATTCTCTTTCTTGCTTTTACCGGTGAGCCTGTTGAGGATTATTTAGGTTCATTTTGCCCCGGCCAATTTTCTAAATTAGTGTTACATTTATACAATTGTGAAAAAGCTTATAACAAGGGGTGGAATTGAATGGATTCGATATTGGCCTAGTTTGTGAAGATTTAGAAAATTACCCCTTATGGATTATTCTCCTTTATTTTGTGAAATATGAAAGGCTTTTATAGCTTTATTTTGGGGAATCATGAAGTTGATATAAGTTGGATTTATGAAAGAATTTGAAAGCTTATGAAATTGTTGTTTGGAAAAAGTGTTTGGAGATTCAACATTAAAGATTGGAGAACATAAATACTGTATTTGAGTTCAGACTTGGATGTGTGAGTACATATAGGTGGTGGACCCATGGGTACAGTTATTACATTAGTTTTATGCCCGTTTTGACCTGTTCGAAACAAAATT